TACTAGTAGTAGTAGTAGTAGTCGTGGTGGTGGTGGTGGTGGTGGAAGTAGTGGTGGAAGTAGTGGTGGTAGTAGTGGTGGTAGTAGTGGTGGCAGTAGTAGTAGTAGTAGTAGTAGTAGTAGTAGTGGTAGTAGTAGTAGGCATCGTAGTAGTAGCAGTAGCAGCAGTAGCAGCACTACTACTACTTCTTCTTCTTCTGCCACTACTACCAGTACTACTGGCACTACTAGTACGACTGGTACTACTAGTACTGCTAATACTGATAGTACTTCTAGTACTACTAGTGACGAATCTGGGAGAGATGGTTAACAGTAACGAAACTTGTCTACTGTAACTGATGCAAAGGTCATCGAGGCCCTTGATGTTGTTGCTATACCATTCTTAAGGTGATCGCTCTCGACTGAAAGAAAAAAGCAACTACAATCAACGGATTGACAAACACCGTCTGTGGTCACAATAGACCAACACTGAACCCATCAAAACAAAGTCTCTGCCGGCCATGGAACATCTGGCTGCGGTCTGTGCGGTCGGCATGATCCTCAGGGCCGCATTCCTCCAGCACACGCTGCACATCGAAGTCGAAGGCCTCGGTAGCGAGCTCCACCATATCCTTGGCTTTTCGAGAAGCTATCGAGTGTCAAGGGCTCTCGGGGCTCCGCATATAACGAGAAAGACCATGACCATGGCCATCAGATTTTAAGCCTTGCAATCCCAGGAGATACCAACATTTTCAGGTTGAGTTTCGCAGATGTCGATTTTCCTAACCTGTCAAAACAAGCATTCACAAGTTTTTATAGAAACGGCCTAGCATCCTGCAGCTGGGGCATGCTCTGGCAGGCAGCCAGCATCCTGAGATCAAGACACGTCTACAGGGCGGGTACAGTGCATCGCATGCATCCCTTCATGCCTTTTCTTGGTGGGCTTGTGCTTAAGTAAAATTTCTTGAAACTGTCAGCTGCAAGCGTCCCGGCATAGTGCGTCTGCTCGCCGGGAAAGATCAGCATGTTGGGCTGTGCCGCTGGTTCCTTCAGTGGGTGCGCGCACCACTCTGGTAGGTCGTACTTGTCCAGGGCTTTGTGTCCAGGGAGGTTCTCGGCCCGACCCGACATCTCGCTGTATTTCGGCATGGCTGATGGATCTGGCGGACGCGGAGCAACGGAAGAGGTCCAGGCGTTGGGCTAAGTAGGTAGGTTCGTATCCGTGCTGCTACTCAGATACCAGAAACAGGGCTCTTTCTGACGAGATGTGCTTTACAATTTGAGGCACTATGTTCGAACAAGCAAGGATTCCTGCCGAAGGGACCACGTGCCATGTAATTCCATCATTCGCATGGACACTGGTACCGGTCTTGTTACAATGAATGCTGCAAATGTGTTTGTGTGGGAGACGAGGTCACACCAACGACAGCTGTGCTGATGATGCCAATAACACTGGCGCTGGCGCCTTCGATGGAAGTGATGCTGCGACCATGCGAGGAGGTCGATAAGGAGTATTGCCGACGATGGCCATAACCATCATCACCAACAACAACGTTGCCCTCGCCATATACATAGTGAAAATGATGATGATGATGGTAGCCATGACGATTGGACAGCTTCTGACGTCTGACGAGGAACTCGACAAAATCAAAAAAAAACAGGTAGTACCACAGATCACCACATCAAACATCCGAATTTCCCCGTACAAATTTGAAGAGCTTTTCTCGTGAAGCGTCCCGCATAAAAGGGCGAAAGTCGCAGACTTGCCGAAAAACTGAAGGTCTGGGACGGTACAATAAAATGATGCTACATGCAGCAATGTTGTCCCATACAACCACTTCGACGACCCTGCTTCACCTGGTGCTGTTTCCGATGGGCCCAATCATCAACCAGCTCCGCAGGCATGATCAGAATCACGCGAAGCATCCTACAAACTAGCCATTGGTGACGACTGCTCGCATGGCCGGGATGCTCCTGGAGTGATCGGTCATGGAGGTTGCTCGAGAAGCACAGCTTCGCCTGCAGCTGAGAGTGCGGGTAAATATACTGAGAACCCGGAGGGTGCTCCAGGGTAGAAGGAACATCCCGCTGGAAGTGCGATGATGCAAAAGTTAAACGATTCTCTACATCCAGAGCAAACTTATCTCCACTCGCACCGTCGGCTTAGGTCCTTGCATGGAGATGATATCAGAGTAATCCGCAGGTTTATGTTCAAGCACCTCCCAGTGGGATTCAGTACACCACGCCACCACCGCAGGCTGCACCTACCAAAATGTGGCCAGTCTGAACCACACTGCAACCTGAAGCCGAATTGCTAAATCTTCAAATACAACCCACCTGCGCCAGCTCAAGGGAAATTGGCAAGTAGCCTGGAACAGGTTAAAGAGTTCACGGTCTTCTCAGGAACAGCAATGTCATGCAAAACATCTATCCCGCATGTCTGCTGATTTTCTTTCTTCGATTCATCGAAGGGCAAGAACTACCAAAGACATCGCACATCGGCCTCATTATGGCAGTATGATGACGAGATCTCTGGTGAGGATGGAGAGGATGCAGACCGTGAGGACGCACGTAGTGATGATAATAAATATAATAATGTGAATGATGAGCTCAACGATGATAGCAGGTTTCCGGATTAGGATGCAAGGTCCCGAGCTTTGGGGGCGGGGTTTGCCTGAAAGGCTAGAGCATCTCGATTTGGGCTCGTGTTTCGGCTCTTGCGAAGACAACCTGGAATTCCGAAGCGTTTTGAAGCTGCCGAACACCTCAGAGCAAGCACCGAATGAAGACACCTGCACAACCCAAAATGAAAACTGCAACAAGCCAATTGAAAGAAAAAGATGGCCTTGTAAGGGCATGAGCCGACGAAGCCACACAAGGTGCTCCATGCGCTCATGGAGCAAAGCCTCACAAAATCCGAGAAGGGCAAGGAGGTTGCTACAGATCTGACATTTGCAGTTGGAATTAGGGTTGAGGATTTTAGGACTTAGGATCTAAGACCTGGGGCTTCTTCTGACTTTTGAATGATGCTGCACAGAACCCCTACTGCCGAGGTTGTTGCTGAACTTGTCTCTGTTGCTTTTTGGAGTTTGGACTTGCCATAACTTGCGTTTGCGAATACGGAGGTGATTGTTCAAGGTAGCCTTCACACTCCGCACAGCTAGGGGTCGGATTTTGGGCTTCGAACTTAACAGTAGGCGACAGAATACACAAAACACGGCTGCCTTCCAAGAGCCTTGAGGACAAATGGATGTTGCAAGAAACTCCGGCAATGGATCCAAATTTGTACATCTTCGCCTTCAAGTTCAAGCCAGCGGATCCGATTCGGATCAGCCACTTCCAGCATTCTAGCACCCGGTTGACGCCACATCAGAAAGCAAGCGCAGCACCCGAGATCATCGGCTGGGCAGGAACCGGGTCACACAATCAGACGCGGAATGGCAAGACGCAAAGCGAAACGGCAGGGCCGTGGCTTTGCCGGGCGAAGCAGCAAGGCATAAAGTAGCACACTCAATGTGAAAGTAGTGTGGCAAGTGTCCCTCATAAACGGGATAGGAGCATCCGGGTGTAAGTTGTTTTGCTCCTGGAGCTTGTTAAAGCCAGTCAGCATTCTTGCATGTGGGCACTGCTTACGTATCGTATCCACCCAACCCATCCCGCGACTTCAGTTGGCACTTCCTACATCCCAGATATCGCGAGCTCCCAGATCCAACACTGCAAACCTAGCAGTTTCGAAAGTCAAACAGTGCTCCCTCCAAGTGGGCACGCAGGCCCCATTATCCACCTCCGCTTTACGACATGGATCGCAGATCAGCCCTGCACCAGGAACTGAAGAACCTGAAAGGAGCCCGGGAAACCACTGATTCGTGGCTCCTTGCAAACGCCTGCAAAACATTCAGAATGGAAACAAATCTTGACTCTCCGCGTGCCTTTCTACCCACAATGTCTGAAAGACCGGAGCCCTGAGTCTTCAACCAGGCTGACAGACACGGAAACTTCAAAAACCCGACAGATGCTGAGCCTCTTCCGACAGAGCCATCGGTAAACTGTGGCCACACAGCTCGCACGGTCCCCGATTGTCAGCACCCTCGGCGCAGCAGCTGTCGACTAGAAAATCAGCCTGACAAACCTTACCACCTGCCGGCTTGGGGTTTCGGGACTAGGGGCTTGTGCAACGTGGTAATCTTGCAGGGAGGCATCCAGCCGCCATGCACCGCAGCTTCGACAGAGCAAGCCCCAGAGTCGTCGGGCCTGCGTGAGCCCGGACAGGGTTATCATTATCATTATTATTATTATTACTATTATTACTATTATGACTATTATTACTATTATTACTATTATTACTATTATTACTATTATTACTATTATTACTATTATTACTGTTATTACTATTATTACTATTATTATTATCATTATTATCATCATCATCATCATTATTATTATTATATAAGGGCTCCTATGAGGGATTGCTCTTAGGGCTACTATAAGGTTCTGACTAGAACCCACGACACCATGTGAGCTTTGGTACCGTCTGGTGCAAATTGAACAAAACTGTCCTCTGCTTCACACCAATCGCCTAGGATCCCAAACACCAATCTTGGGTGAACATTGACTGGACCACAGATCGCACTTCTCCACTTGTAACACAATCGTTTTCCGTTGATACTTCGGAGCGGGGCTTTAGGGTTTAGGGTTTAGGGTTTTGGTTCAGGGTTTAGGGTTTTAGGGTTTAGGGTTTGGGGTTTAGGGGTTCATGGTGTGGCCGCCGTCTCTACGGCTTACGGCTGGAAAGGATCATGCCGTCGAACCAACCTTGTCTTACTCTGACGTGCACACAAAAGACAAAATAAAAGCGCCGTTGTGTGCAGCAGCCTTCCGGAACAAGAAGCATTGAACCGATTTCTTCTATACATAATGAGAAACAGATCGGAACGTGAGATTGTGGGAAAATGGAGCGACAGATCGATATACGAGTTGCAGCAGTCATTGCCAGAAACTACAATGAAGATTCATAGTTTTGCAGCACTAGACGTAACAAATTGCATGTGCATGAGAATGAAAGTACTGGAAGGAAGGACTGACCGAAATGTGTCGATCACGGGTCCACAGCCTCCAACTGCCTGCCGAGTGTAATGCCCAAACAACTGCTCTGCACATCCTCTCTCGGGCACAACACCTCCGCATGCTTCGATGTAGGACTGATACATCCTATGGCTCTGCTATCGATGGTGACCAGAAGCTTGGAGTCGTGCCTCACGCTACAGAGATTCCAAGACCAAGAACTTTCGAGAAATTCATTACCGCGAGACACCGGCTCCCACCTCGATGCGCCAGCAAGAAGCACCATGAGGGACTCCAGGACCACCTAGGTCCGAGCTTCGAGCTTACGGCTGCGTCACTAAAACGCTTCATCGGCACTCTTCGGGATGGACAGCCTGCTTACATGAATGCTGAATGGCAGTGGTTGCTGTCATCGTCGCAGCGGTGGTCGCGCTTGTGGTCGCGCTCAGGGTCGTGGAAGTGTAGTAGTAGTAGTAGTAGTAGTAGTAGCAGCAGCAGCAGCAGCAGTAGTAGTTATAGTCGAGGACATAGTCGTAGCTGATGATACTGCGACTGGTGATCTCAGGATCTCGAAGCTGTGCCTTGGTCCCAAACCCAGCACCTTCCACACTCTTCGCGGAAAGGCAAAAAAAAAGAAGCAGACGGAAACCTGTAACCAATATCAACAGCCACCAAGAACTGCAGCATCCGCAGCATACGCTCTCTTAGTCGCACAAAAGAAGTCGTGCGACTTGCAAGCGATAGCTTTCCAGCTCACCACCTTTGCAAAGAAGCATGCCAAATCCTCGCAACCGCTCGTCAACAGCAGAGCTCTGACAG